AAATTCATATACAGCTTTTGAAAAACAGGAGTGATAGATTCCTGGTTTATTCTTTTTTTAAATTCTGCAAACAGTTATTCTATTGATGTGAACTTGAAAGTATAAGATCCCCTTAATTGTATGTGTCCTTGAATGCGGTATCGATTATATGAAACAAAGGAATTTGCTTTCCTGTATAATTCCTTGGATAATTTTATTAGCCCTAAATATCTACAATTTCTTATTCATTGATATCCAGACAAGTTACTGATGATTTCTAACACTCAGTCTCATTGTTTACATAGATAACACAATTTAATCTCTTGTTCTTTTGTAATTCATACCGATTAAAAAATTGTACGTTACTGAAGCCTAGAAAAATAATGTCTTCATTTGTTATAATTATCCAATAATTCCCCAGTTTATCACTGACCTATAAAATCTTAGCTGATCAACTTTTCCTGTTTTCATCATCTGATTTCAGTCAATTACGAAGTTTATCTTCACTTATTTATGAAAAATAATGTAGGTCTAATCAGTTACTCTAATACAACTATTGGTTATCGGTTCAAGGATCAGTGTAAACAAATGTAGTTCTTAATTTATTCTTATATTGAAACTAAGCTCAATATCGGAAAAATATCATATATCATTTGTGGATTTATTTGTATTTATGACTACTGCTAATTACGTGTGATCTTTCATGTGGTTCCTCTTTTTTAATTGTTATGTCTACTACATTCAACCAACCATGGATGTGTATTTGTAGGTATACGGTGATTGATTTTTTTTCCTTTTCAAGAACAAACTGTGGACGGAAATGACTTTTTATGAATTTGTTTGTTCAACCACTTTATTTGAATTTCACATAAAATTTAGTGGTAAAAAAGTTAAAACTTGTGTAGTTATTTTCCTGCAGTTTTTGTAATACGATTATGAAATAAGGGAAGTAAATATGTGTATAAATCTTGTGATCCAATCATTTTGTTAAAATACAAATCAATGAAACTGTTTTAAATTAAAACAACCGTAAATAATTGACACATGCACATATGCAGTTATTTCAGCTGATATTTAGTTCATTATAATTAACCACCTGAGATCAACCTGTCATGAATCCAACCTAAAAATTCATATCATTCTCCACAATACCACTTCTACTAAAGTGTAATACTCAGATAACCAGTGAATTACTTCAACAAGTTCTTGAAGTTCTAGTGAGAAGTAATCATTGATGGAGTTCAGATACGTCGATTGTCAAGAAGTTGTCATCAGTGTCACTGGATGACCATCGTATTCTATCGCGAATTAGTTGGAGTTGAGATTTCGGTATTGAATTCTGACTTAGTGGCTCTACTGGTTAGGCATTCATTAAGAGAGTTGAATCTCCTGAATTCGACTTGTGGTGGAGATGTAAATGTTCATTGTCAAATAGTTGCGAACTAGAATGGAGCAACTGTTCAATGGTTCATGGCTTCCAATGCAAATTTAGCAGACACCAACTTGTGAGCTACGCAACCAATAAATCTAAGCCAATCCACACAAATTTTCCCTCAATTTGTTTATGAATTCAAAGTAGATTGAATCACAGATACAATTTCAATGTTCGATATTCCCACAGATCTAATTCGAATAAAATAAGACTACTGAATGAACGTGCTGCTGTATGAAAAGTGACGGGACATTGCTTCTATAGAGCCTATTTACATTTGAAAGTACTAGTTTTAACACCATCTCATTTTACTGTAGTCAACTCTAAATATTTACCAAATTCCGATTATGAATAATAAGCGATTATTAACCTGTTTTATATTTTGTCACGTAGAATAAATATAGATGAATTCACAAATCAGATCCTTAATTCTTCCATTACATCTCAAAAAAAAGATTACACATTATTTATATGAAGTCTGTATACTGATTTACAATCATAATGAAGAAGCATTGGGTCTACGTTTCCTCTCGGATTTACACACCAATAGAAAATACTGACGGTCTTTAAAGAATTCAATTAGACGTTAATATTAACCACAATATCAATAATTAGTGTAGTTCACTGTTTTATCACTAAGCCAACATAACCACAACCGACCTTTCATCGTGTATAAATTTCTATTTAAGACTTATTCAAAAGGATGTTAATTACTAAATTTAATCGCAGTGAAGTGATATGGAAGTTTCCAGGAGTAATATATATCAAGTTATACTGAAGAATCAAATAATACTCAATTAGTAATTGATCGTTTTGATTGTCTGTTAATATAAGATTGAGGTTTTATTCAATAACCAACAAAAGTACGCCGAGTTGACGTTTGATATTTTATAGGTCAATACTGGTCTGTGTTGAACGCCAGTCAAGCAAATAACGTGTTTGTGAAGTGAGAGCTTATGGCGAACTGTCATCATAATGGATTACCTCAAGTGGTGTTCGTCATGGCTGTCCACTCTCCCCATTCTTGTTCAACTTTTTCGTCCACGTACTTTTAGTTATACACTTTCCTCGTCTAAATTTCCAGGGGTTGAACTTCTACCGTGAAGTTCACTTGTTGACTTATAATATGCTGATGACATAGTTTTATTTGGTGAAGACGCTGACAAAATGCAGTCTTCTGACCACTCTAAGCAACAACGCAAGCATGTTCGAGATGTGATTTCCCCCCCCCCACGAAATGCAAAATGTTGCTTCAGGATTGGGTTGCATTAACACCCGAACTAAAGATAGGGAGTGAAGTAATTGAGCGTGTCGATAGCTTCAATTATCTTGGGAGTCTCATCAGCCCTTGTGGTCTGGTGTGTGACGAAATCTCAGCACGGATACAGAAGGCTCGACTAGCTTTTGCCAACTTGCGTCATTTATGGCGTAGGCGAGTTATCCGTCTATCAACCAAAGGATGGGTTTACTGCGCAGCAGTTCGTTCCGTCCTACTTTTATGGCAGTGAAACATGGCCGGTAAGAGTAGAGGATATTCGTAGGATACTAGTATTCGATCATAGGTGTCTTCGAAATATTGCTCGTATATCCTGTGACCACCGAGTAAGTAATGCAGTTGTTAGGAAACGAGTACTTGGTAAGGATGACAAATCAATTGATGAAGTAGTGAAACTTCATCAGTTGAGATGGCCGGGACACGTTACGTATGCCCAACCACCGACTACCTCGACATGCGATGTTCAGTGGTATAGGAGTAGGTTGGAAGAAAGCTAGGGGCGGCCAGACCAAAACATGGCACAAGTCCATGAAGTCACTGACAAGTGGACTGAGTCATGTTGGTAGGTGTAGACTACCTGGTTGGGGACCACGAGATGATAGCAACCGGTGGTTAGAGACCCTGAATGACATGGCTCAAAATCGTTTGCAATGGCGCAGGTGCATACACTCTTGTGTTCTCCCAAATTTTGATCTCCTTATTCCTCCTTGTCTCTTTTTTTTCTCTTCCCAAATTTATTTCACTGTATTATACTCTTTAAATAACATCTCCAAACCCTAATCTTCCCGATTACTGCTTATACTCTTATTACCTCTACCACTACGAGATTTGAGTCGACCATTGCATCTCTGTGCTAATGTGGTATGGCAACTCGAACTGATGTACGTACGTACGAAGTTCTACGTTGGTACTGACTGACTCACAACATAATACACTGATATATTTATTTAAGCACACTAAGAATAAGTTGGGTTTGTTACTGGACACGTATTGCGGTGCCGTCGATTTAATGGGTAGGATAATTTAGTAAAACTAGTTAATTTGTATGAACCAACAATAAAACTCAATGAACATCGATGATCTCCTCTATTCGTTTTAAATGTTTTTTATTTGTTGAGTTTATTTTATTAACCACTCAGATTGCTAAGATGAAGCTTATCAATAAGCTATTCAAATTTATGAAAATGGTAGTTTAATTCATCATTAAAATTTTTTAAACAATATGACCTTACGGGTATAATGCACACTCTTCAAATATAAGTAGATGTCACTTAATTCGCCTACACCAAAGAACATCAACACGCATGGTGAAACTAGTTATTTATTTTTCCACTCAAGACAGTCTATGAAAAAAGTCATACACTAAACAGCGTCATGTTATAGACTATCCAAATTCTTCGGCAATACAAAAGCAAAGACTTTCCCTTAGGTGGATAATACAGTAGTTTGTGTGCTACAGGTAGAGTATTAAGCTGAACTGAAATTGGTTTGCCCACAACTTTCTTCAATGCAAGCGATATGTACGAAGTTTGGGTCAACGTAATATAAACAGTCAACTCACTTGACCAAACAGCCTACTTGCTAAATTTTCAGTGTGCCCATTAATACTTACTAGATGAAAGTCCCCTTGATCAAACGGCCACTAATTTCATGAGAACCATATAACATAATTTAATCGAATTAATTGTGAGAAACAAGTAGTAGTTAGTATAATCCAGGTGTATTTACAGATAAAAATTAAAATAAATAATCACCTGTTTATGTAACTTAGTAGTGAGAAAATTAAACAATACAATCAAATATTGCTAAAATGCATAAACAATATACACAGAATAAAAATAGCAGTTGAACACAGAGAAACAAGAAAATCTAAAAATATAACATAATTAGAATATCACTTATTGGACCACAACAAAAAACAGTAAGCAATGCGAAACTCCATACTAATAATGAGCATTACATACAAAACAGGAATAACATTAGTTATTGATTCGGATCAAAGCCCATTGTGCTTAGATTTCTTAAACAACACAGTTGTGCACAACCGCTGAACCAAACACCGATATAATATATGAATAAATCTGACAAAAGAGGCAGAACGGTCAACAAATCGGAAGATAAACAGGAAAAAACTTCCAAGCTCACTAAAAAACACATAATTGGCAAACAACACTGTTGCTTTGGAGGATAGATGAAAAAAGAAACTATTTAAAGTTAGCAAACGTAAGCTGAAAATAATTTATGTATATTCATATTAAACTAAACATTCATTTTCACAAGTACAGAAAAATATCTTGTTTCGAAAATATAAAGCTATGAACCGGAGCCGAAAGAATTCTCCCCACTGTAGCTTATGTATAGAAAACCATCATCATCGTGAAAGTTATGATACAGTTGACCTATTGTGGCACTAAAATGATTAAAATAAATGGAAATCACTGTATAATTCAGAGAATAGTCTGAAAAATTAGAAACGCATCGTAGAAATTCTTTTATACAATATAGTGAATAAGCATTTCACATTTCGATCCACATTAATAAGATGGAGAACAAAGCATCACAAAATATAACAGAAGAAAAATTTATTCTGCCTCTCGTCAAAGCGTTCCAATTTTATTCAACAAAATAAAACGTAGATATTTATTAGGCTGTGAGGCTCATAATTAAAAGCTTGAGGTTAAGGTATGTAGGTAACTAACTCATTAGAATTATAGACAATGCGATGAAGCCACACAAATATTTGGGTGTTCAGATTACATGAAATATCTACTTACGGATATAAGGAAACGAATCTTAACATCTAAACTATATCGGTTATATCTTGTTTTAAAACAAGTAACGACGAGCACTGACACCTACTGTATTAACAGAAATAACATCTGTAAACTGTAATATGTAAAATACTTCAGAGTTTTAAATTCCCTAAGTATTACAACAATTTGGGTCACGAGCACCTAATGAGGGAAGAAACTATCCCAGCTATTCTAGACAAAAATTTTACTTTAATTTGTTAACATTTTTCTAGTTCCATGTAACTTGCCTGAAAGTGATATCCAGAATATGTTCGACTTACATATTCTAGTAGAAATTCAAATATTCTGAATTTATCAGTTGTATCTTAAGCCCTAATCTACATGCGATCGTGTCTGAGATCTTCTTATCCTCTGTTGAACATTTTTTATATGACTTTTGATTGTTCTGTTGCACCTACTCGCATTTCCCTTATTTAACTAGTGGTGTTATCTCTCGGCTTGTAGGACATTTCACATTGTGCATACGGTGGAATCAGTGTCAAAATAATTTATATTAACATCTATTTATTCGTTAGTGTTACTAATGAAAATTGAAACACTAGTTGTATCTGAAAATCATTGTTATAAGGAAAAGACTGACTTAACTACATGTGAATTGTTACAGTTAGGAAGTATGTTATGCATGAGTAGGGTAGACAGATTAGAATAAAGCTGCATGTGAGCAGATCAAGACATGGTATTACTTGATCATTGGTCCGAAGCATGTTGGTGTAGGAGCAAACTTCCTGATTGGAGGCTGCTCAGCAATCGTAATTTAATGGTTAGAAAAGTTGGGTGACACGACAAAATTGATATTAGTTGCATTCATTCTTTATTACTGGGCTGAATAGTGAGTTAAGTGTCAATCTTAAATTTTCACGATTTAATCTCATTTGTTCCTTTAAAATTGTACTTTCGTACGTAGATTTCCATTGTGATGGAAATTAGTTCTTCATATTTGCTTCTTTTGATGTTACCTCTCCCTGTACTGACATAGAGTATAGAAACTTACCGATAAACATTATTCCTAAGGTCCTACTTTGACAATGAATTACGGACTGATTCTGAATATCGAATTAAAGCTTTTTGTTTAGCGCTGATATGAGCCCGAATGAACTTATATAGTTTAAATAAACAGCTTTTTGACCGGTGTTAGTTTGTGAATTCTTTTTAACTAAATGCAGTAACACTTCTCCCTTGAGTATGTTACTATTTGAACAAGTGTTTGTATTTTATGTCAAATGGTACCACTGTAATCCAAACTGAAAGTAAGGCATTTATAAGATGCAAGATAAATTACGGATTATTCATAGGAATTTTAAATGTCCATCAGACCAACAATTACTGTGTATATCAAGTCGAAAACATCTGATTAAAATATCTTATGTAAGGAAGAACTTTAAAAAGTGAATCGACTCGTAAATCGATTAATATACCTTGTTTGTGGCATATTCTTCTCAACAAAAAGAAAGAGGGCTTTTTCTGATGAGATATCAATACGTTTTCGAATGATCCACATAAACTGAGCAACTGTAACATCGTCCGGAACAAGAAACTTATGTTTGTCAATATCGGGTATTTGTGAATGACGATGACGTTCCACGACGACCTGTAAAAAAGATTGAAAACGAGTTCAAAAGTGACAAGTATTTGCTTTAACTTGCGAAATAATTTTGTACAAAAAAAGTTAAAACTCGTAAGGATCGGTCGTGCACAGACCAAATTGCGACACTACGGATCATCGTCGAACAATCAGTCGAGTGGGACTCGTCACTGTACATCAACTTCATTGATTATGAAAAGGCATTTGACAGTGTAGATAGGAGGACGTTATGGAAACTTCTTCGACACTACAGAGTTCCTGAGAAGATTGTTAACATTATCCGGAACTTATACGACGGACTACAGTGCAAGTTCGTGCATGGAGGACAGCTGACAGAGGCATTACAAATAAGAACCGGAGTCAGACAAGGCTGTCTACTCTCTCCCTTCCTCTTTCTTCTGGTGGTCGACTGGATTATAAAGACCTCGACATCTGAGGGAAAAACACGGCATACAATGGACAGCTCAGAACCGATTAGACGGTTTGGACTTCGCAGATGACCTAGCCCTCCTATCGCATACACACGAACAAATGCAGATAAAGACAGCCAGTGTAGCAGCAGTCTCTGCACAAGTAGTTCTCAACATACACAAGGGGAGAACCAAGGTCCTGAAATACAACACGGAGAACGCCAATCCAATCACTCTTGATGACGAAACTCTGGAAGATGTAGAGTCCTTCACATACCTGGGAAGCATCATCGATGAACAAGGTGGTTCAGATGCAGACGTAAAATCGGGGATTGGCAAAGCAAGGACTGCTTTCCTACAATTGAAAAACATGGAACTCAAAACAACTTTCAACCAATATCAAAGTCACAATATTCAATGCCAACGTCAAGGCATTTCTACTGTACGGAGCTGAAACTTGGAGAACTACAACAACCACTATCAAGAAAGTACAAGTATTTATAAATGGTTGTCTACGCAAGATACTCAACATCCATTGGTCGGTTACCATCAGCAATAGCCTTCTGTGGGAGAGAACAAACCAGCTTCCAGCTGAAGTGGAAATTAGGAAAAGACGATGGAAATGGATAAGACATACATTACGCAAATTATCAAACTGCATCACGAGGCAAGCCCCAACTTGGAATCCTGTAGTGAGGCGGAAAAGAGGAATGCCAAAGAACACATTACGTCGGGAAATAGAAGCAGATATGAAAAGGATGAATAACAACTGGAAGGAGCTGGAAAGGATTGCCCAGGACAGGGTTGGATGGAGAATGCTGGTGAGTGGCATATGCTCCTTCACGAAGAGTAACAGGAGTAAGTAAAGTTAAAACTCAATACAGCCTTGATGTGTACTCCGTAACGCATTCTAAAAGAATCCGATAAAAGGCATTCTTTTACGTTAGTGATAAACATATACATCCTAATGAAGTCAATCGCAGATAGAATCCTAAGCTGAACTTTAAAATGACATGATAAAAAGATGGTTGAAAAAGTGTGATGATGAATAGTGACTTAGCTGCGTAAACCTCGAAAGATGTAAAGTACTAAAGATTTGACCACTTTTAAAACTACATCACTTCAGGTTTCAAATATTTGAAAAATAACGGGAAGATATGTGGACCGGGATGTCAAGCGTATGAACTATGAATCATGGTTAATTGTCACGTCTTACTAGGTCACTTCAGACCTCAACATGATTACATTGTCTATGTGCGTTATATAACAAGGTAGAGTGAAATTAGATAGAGACCCTATGACCCCTAAATGCCCTGGCACGGTTGAGGGCGTGGAGAGCCAGCACATCCGAAATTCCCTCACACGGCTACGCGTATACAACCACTGCCAGGGAAGTCCTACTCACTGCCTTCTCGCAGCATTACAGTTGTTTACGAAATTGAGAGGACGACAAGCGAATATCCGGCACATTAACCGGGTTGGTGGACACGGAGTGTCTACCTAGGGGTGTTAAAAACCCTGATTCCAAACCAAAGGTGAACATAAGCTACAGGATCGTGAGTCAGTCAGTCAGTAACAACGTAGAACTTCGTACGTACGTACATCGGTTCGAGTTGCCACACCACATTAGCACAGTGATGCAGTTGTCGATTCAAATCCCGTAGTGGTAAAGGTAATAAGAGTATAAGCAGCAATCGGGAAGATTAGTGTTTGGAGATGTTATTTAAAGAGTATAATACAGTGAAATAAATTTGGAAAGAGGAAAAAAGGGACATGAAGAATTCAGAAGATTAGAATTTGGGAACAAATGGTGTATGAACTTATTATTGGCCAACGGCCACCACGGGACTGCATCTCCTGACGTCGCTCCACTGCCTTGTGGATCGGACCTTTAGGTCGAAGGCTCCGGGCGTGGCTCCCTAAGAAAACCAACTACTTAGGTTTGGGCACACGGGTAGTATTTCAGCTCCCACACAAGTCGAATGGTGAAGTGTGGCGCATAGGTATCTGGTCACTCCTTGAACCGATGTTTACATTTAAATAAATAAACAACACTATAAATATACAGAAATGCAGTGGTTGGGTGTGATAAAGCTAATAACTTGTGCATCACGTATTTGCAATTTGTTGGTCAAACATATGGACAGAATAAGTGAACTTATTGGAACATATATATATAGACCAAACCACCGAGGTCAAATTTTAGAGTACGGCAACAACTCAACAGTGCACAAATGTAGAGATACTACTTAGGAGTGCCAAGATTCACTGCCTTTATATATGTATATAGACGTTTCGGAAATTATCATGCGGATGTTAGTGCCATTCTAAGTCAGTGTTTTCCATAAGCCAAAAACCATAATTCCAATGGATTTTATGTAGACCGGAAGACGCAACAGGAGCAACATGGAGCACTGTCTACAAAAAAATTGTATCAACACCAAAGTATTATATTGGGCAGAATGTCTTATGCACTTAAACAAAAACACAAGTCGAATGCAAGGCTAAATTACCTAGCGTTTTTTAAAGAACTCATATTGTTTTGAATAATATCTACGTCCAATCTTGTCCAGTACTGGTGATACAATCCCTACTTCGGATACTCTGGGGTTTAACCCGATGATTTTATCTCGCGATAGCGAAAGCTTTGCAGATAAATTTTTCAGGCCAAAGAACTCACTATTACAGAAAATTTGTGTTGATTTCGCAAGCTACTCAAGAGCATAATTCAACAGAAATACAGAAAATTCTGTTTTAACTAAGCTTTCGACAAATATTATACATGGTAAATCAGTAACCTAAAAAGAATTTTTCCTTCATTTTTTGATGTGATAGTTGAGGTCTGATAGTTCAGCTGAATGAGACCTTAGTCAAGAGATAGAGGTGATTAGTTGTATCAGCATGCTATAGGTATTAGGTTCTTTAAGTTTGCTAAGAATGCTACATGGGACGAATCGGCGAATGGGGATGTCAGAACAGGCTGGGCGGTGTGTGGCGTAACCCGGAGATACGAAATACTAGCTACAGGTCAGTGGGAATTAGTTAAACACATATGGTTAACCGCTATTTCTAAAGATCACTGGCGTTGACCAATGGGCTTCGTAAAAGTTAAATGTCCCGGATGTTTGACTTCTGACATCAAAGTTTAGAGACAATGAATAGTGGAAAACTGGACGTAAGAGTTATTCTATACCCATATACAACTTCAGTCTAAAAGTGAAACAGAAAAATTCAGAAACGCGGAGTGAGAGCATGACTAACTTTTCCGTACTTCAGTATTTAAAAAACTGGAGCTTAGAACTATAAAGTAACAAAAAGCCAAGTAAACAAATGTGATGTTAAGGACTGATAAAAGTCTGTGAAAATCATTATTTTTGAAAAATAAAACTTGATCATTCAGAGTTAATATTACTCAATTATTACATTGTGCAGGACTTACCGGAACTCTATTAGGGTACTTGGCCTTTATCTTTGAAGAGTCCTGTTGTCTTTGCTCTGTAAAGAAATAGAAGAATTAAAACCAACAAACCAAAGGTATGGGTCTCTTTGAACTTGAAATTCATGACTTCTTAATGAACTTTGAGTAGCCCGCTACAAATATGGTGGGAAATTGCTTTTAATTCTAGTGTAGCTCAACGCATTATCACTGGAAACAAACAATAATCTCAACCAGCCATAATAGAAAATTTGGTTTATTGCTCTTGAATTTAGGTGTAAAGAACAGGTCTCAGGCTTTTATAGTACTTCCTGTGGATGGTAAGGCAACTATTATAATTACTTGAAGATTGTTGTATTGCAGGAGTAGATAAGTAGTTTTCCATGAGTTGAGTTGTATCCGTGACCAGAAACCATCACACCTCGCAACTGTTGTTTGGTTGACTGCATTCAGAGTTGTGAAGTGAGAAGTTAAAAATAATTTGTAGCGGGCCAATATGTCTTTTTTTAGTTTCCATTTCAAGATTGTGTTAATCCGACGCTTGTGTCACTGCTGACTGGTGTCTGCTGCTTTCCGTAATAAACATTAGTGCGTTGCGTGTGCATATAAGGTGGCCAAATCGCCCTTTCTTTTGTTACTTATTTTTCCTAACTTCCTTCATAGCTTACAGCACGCTACTTTGCATAAATAAAGTACCTTCGGGCTAGAAGCGTACCGCTACGAACGCGCGGCGGGAAGAAAATAAGAGATTAATAGTTCTCACTCAATTAGCGTTTGCAAATAGGTTACATTATTAATAAGTAATACAAGATACAACAACAGACTAAAAACAAGCCACAAGATACGGTTAGACATTGTGGGAATAAGGTGAATGAATTTTAAGAAACCTTCCATTATACAGGTATTTGGCCGCTATTCTGGACGAAACTAGGTAATCTGTAAATACCTCTTACCGAAATAATCTATGATGTTTGATAATGGTTGAACCAACAGCCCTCAAGAGCGAAACGACTCTCAACTTCAGTGACAGTTGATTGTCTACGCAGTATCCGACTAACTTCCGGACTATTAATGAAAATACAAAAATCCTTGCGCTCATGGAAATCAACAGGATGTGGCAGAATTCTATCTGTAGTCCTATAACAGTGCTGACTTTACTCGACACTAATGTTAATCAGTGCTCTATTTGTACATGATAAAATGACTCACCAGCACACCCTGTTACTTTTAAACATTCACTTGTTTTGATAGTGTAAAGCTGGTTGTGCTCCAGTGCCACAGACTCATACATTCAAATATACTCTTACGAACTATTTCGCCGTGATTAACTTGCACAACATTAAGTGAGTCATTGACAGAGCCGCCTGCCTTGATTTCGCCTGCAAAATTGATTGCAGTGATCGCAACCTTTCCAGGATCAACTGGAAGACACACATTCAGGCCCAATGGGCTTAGAAAGCATACATGGTCCTTTAGACATACACAGTTGAAAGTAACATATACTCCTACCTAAACGAAACCATAACGTTGTCAACTTGATATTCTGTCACAATGTCACACAAGCATCAATGATGGTTGTCGAAAATTTTCACACTAGCGATCATAATGTAGTCTTCTGCACTCTACCCTTTCTTGCAAAAGGTTACAAATCCCATATAATAAATACACGTCTTCAATACAGCGAATATGAACAATCTGACTGGGAAAACTTTCGATTTCTAATATTCACTCTGACTGGACTAGTTATTTTACTGGTTATAAGCCTTCAGAAACGCTAGAAATAGTCATTATCGCCGCTAAATACACACTAGACACTACTGTCCTCTCCAAAATATATTTTGAAACAATAACTCTTTTTATCAGGCAAACAACTAGGGCTAAGTTATGAAAGCTATAAAGAATGTAATGTATATCAAAAAACTTCAGTGTATTGCGATAGATATACCCTAAACTTGATGGAGTGTAAAGTCAGCATAGGAAACCTTAGCGAACGGAGGAAAGTGCTGCGCTTAGGGGGAGGTCTGTTCGACCCGTCGCATCATGGCTTCATTGGAACAGGGTCCTGCAGTACATGCCTGATAGTCTTCTTTAACGAAGTCACTCGCATACAAGACCAAAAGAACCTAATGATAATACTATATTTCGATATCAAGGAAGCTTTTGATAAGGCACCTCACAAACTCCTGATCATCAAAATTCAGTCAGTTGCAATCACTAACCCCCAATCGCAGTGGAATAAGTCTTTACTCACAAATAGATGTCAAGGAACTAAAATTAAATCTACAATATCTGCACCTTGACCAAATAACCAATGGTGTCGCGCTGGATATTTCTTTGTCTCTATTGCTTTTTACACTCCAAATCAACAATATATGCTGGTGTTTCAACACATATAAGACCTACCTTTGAGCTGATGACTTAAAAGTCATTTATAAAACTACCATTTGCGATGTACGTAGTACTATGCAAACAATATAGCCTGAACTCGACAGGACAGGTAACTGAAGTAAACGTCGCAGCTTAGAACTCCACGCAAAGAAATGCTGCTGGCTACGTATTGGAGATGCCTGTTAAAATAAGACTAACACTCAACAATATCCTACTAACCAAACTCAAATCATCAACAGGCAATAGGGTGCATTACTTTCTTAACTTCTCTGAAAATATGTCTGCTAAAATATCTGAATCGCGGAAATTCCCATGCTTCATTCTTCGTAACTTCATTCAAAATGAATAAGACTATCAGAAGTGCTCCATTCTGCTTTACTAAAGGAAGCGGCTTCAATCTTATCAACCACTTACTGTGATGTTCTCACCAAGGCATGATCCTGAAAAAGTGCAAGCTAGCGTACATTACACACGCTTTATACAGTAGCTATTTAAAGCATTCTATCCATGTCTTACACACAGTCTATGATTTGTAGCTGCCTGACAAGTTTGTAAAGTGGTACTTATAGAAATAGTGATTCCCAAAAGTGCGTGATACACAAAGCATCGTGTGAGGTATAATATTTATCCAAAGAAGCCTAAATGGGCCTAAAATCACAAAAAGAGGAAGGGTGGAGTTACTGACCAGCAAACAATCCACTCGTGTTTGTGTGGCGGAATATTGTTTTTGCATCAGTCCCATTATGATTGGGGACTAGGCTATCAGTTAGTGGTACTGGGTTCGTTTTCTTACGCTCACTACTCAGACTCATGCTTCCAATCTTATGATGGATTAGCTATTTTATTAAAATAACCTATAACTTGCTGTTGCGCTAAATAAATCCTCAAAATAAATAGCTCTGCAAGTTTTCGACATTGGATGCTGACCAGATTAATTTTAGTGGACTCACCTAGCTGAAGGCGCTCGGTCATGCGTCCGCACCAGATCACGTGTGGGAACGCCGTGCTCAACATCTACTGCAATCGCTAGCCAGACTAGATCAGACAATTCTGATATATTGGCAATCGTCAAATACAACTTCTGATCTGCTCGATTCTGTCTTTTGATTTCTCTTGGTGAGTATGAGTTATAATAAAAGGTGCCGGCGTGGAGGTCTCCCGGGAAATCGACGTGAATAGGATTTCCTTCTAAATACACTACTTTGAGGCGATCGATGCTGATGCTATAGTTGGTTCCGTTCTGATCGACTACTTAGTAGTTAGATTCACGATGAAGAACTTTGAAGGGTTCTTTGATGTGAGTCTCGACGAATAAAAACGTGTGTACTATATCGTAAGTCAGGTTGAGCGAAAACATCAGTTCATTGAGGTCGAGTGGAAACAGGTTTAACTGAACGCATTGCGTTTGTAAGCCTGTTCGTGTAGGAGGTTAGATTCGTGTTCATTGAAGAGGATTAAGGATCCACGAATTCTCCTGGAAGTCGAAGTGTCGTTCCATAAATGAGTTGAGCCGCAATGTATCCAATGTCAGCATTCACTGCATTGCGAATACCTAGTAAGACGAGTAGAAGATCGTCGGTCCACTTTAAAACGTTTGCAACTTATAGTGAAGCTTTCAGTTGTCGGTGAAAACGTTCTACCAACCCGTTTGCTTGTGAGTGGTAGGCAGTCGTTCGGAAGCGAGTGATTCCCAAAAGTGTGGTCAGACGACCGAAAAGTTCAGATTCAAACTGACGTCCGCGATCTGTAGTGATAGTTGAAGGGCAGCCGAAATTTGCTACCCATCGTTCGACGAAGGCGCGAGCCACTGTTTCAGCAGTGATGTCCTTGATAGGTACTGCTTCTGGCCATCGAGTGAAACGGTCTACGCAAGTTAAGAGATAAGAGTATCCATTTGAATCTGGCAAAGGTCCTACCAAATCCAGATGAACATGTTCGAAACGAACATCGGGATTTTTAAATGAGCCTAAGGGACATTTATTGTGTCTGACAACCTTAGATTTTTGGCAGCTTACACAGGAGCGTGCCCACTCTCCTACGTCTTTACTCATACCAGGCCAGAAAAGCCGTTCGGCTATAAACTTGATGGTTGCACTAACACCTGGATGAGAACGTTTGTGCAACGTATTGAATACGTTGCGTTGATAACGTTTCGGCACGATTGGTCTATCCCTACCAGTAGATGTGTCACAAAGTAATGTTTCTTTACCTGTTCCCATCTCTTTGATGCATAGCTTGAGGGTTGTAGACGATAACTCGTGCTGAAGATCAGTGTCTTCTTTTTGAAGCTGGGCGAGTTTAAGAAGGTCGATTCCTTGGAAACTGTTCAAGGAAGTTATGCGAGACAAAGCGTCTGCAACTACATTGTTTGCTCCAGAAATGTGTTGAATATCTGAAGTAAACTGCGAAATGTAGTCCAGTCGTCGAGACTCATGAGGTGAGTACTTGTCAGAGGAAGAGCTTAGATAGAAGGTGAGCGGTTTATTGTCCGTGAAAAGGGTAAATTCACGGCCTTCGATATAGTGTTGAAAATGTCGTACAGCACAACACATAGCTAGGAGTTCCCTACCGAATGTGCTGTACCTCGATTCAGTGTTTAGCAACCGTCTAGAGAAAAATGCCAAAGGTTACCAGGAGTTGTTAACCCATTGTTGTAAGACTCCTCCGACTGCTGAGTTGGATGCGTCTACTGCGATACTAATGGGTGCTTGAGTGTCCTGATGTGCGAGCATTGTTGCT